ATCGAAGAAGGAAGCATCAAAGAATAGACTCATGTTAGTAGGAGGTGTTGTGCTGTTTTTTTGTATCGCCTTTCTAGCAGAGGAGCAAATATTTTTGAATTATTTTTGGCACGTTTGGAACGCACAAACAAAATTGTTTTGGAGATTTTTGAGTTTGTGTATTGTTGCTTGTAATGTATTGGATTCCAAACTCTAACAATCTATCTGCAAGTTACAATGGAAACCTGTTTGATTTGCTTCAAAACAATTGTGAATTAATTTTGTGAACTTGTACCATTTCCATGGAACAATTCTTCACGATTAGAATCTCAACTTTGGGAAGATGAGATGAATGCTATCCATGATTGAATTGATTAAAAATTTTATGAGCAAATCCAATATTTAGAATAATATACAATTTATAGTTTTCACACAGTTAGAAAAATTTTGAGATTTGTAAAATTACAATCCTAAAAGTTGTTTCTTCTTGAGTTGGAATTCTCTTTCAGTGATAATTCCCTTGTCTCTTAAATTACCAAGCTTTTCCAATTCATCCAAATTTGATCCAGAACTTGATTTGCTTGATGTTGAAGTTGATGGTTTGATTTTAACAACTTCATTCGAGATGGAACGACCAGTGTCGTGCTTGATTGACCCACCAGTTTGTTGAGAGAAGACTCTAGAATCTCCAGTATTATTTACCTTTACAACTTCATGTGAAATGGAACGACCAGTGTCGTGTTTGACAGATCCTCCTGTTTGTTGTGAGAAAACTCTTGAATCACCAGTGTTATTCACTTTAACAACCTCCTTTGAGATTGATCTTCCAGTATCATGTTTAACTGAAGCAGCTCCAAATTGTTGACCAACTTCAGCATTTGCTTGTCTCAATTGTCTTTCAGTAAATTCAATTTCCTTCTTATCAGAAATCTTCAATCCCAAAGTAGGTAAATTATATCCAACTCTCTTCTGAACAACTGATCCAAAACTATATAAGGCCATAATTACGAGTGGAATGTTTTTTCCCTCATATAAATCAACACTCATAAATGTGTTATGAGTATCTAAACCTAATTCTGCAGCTGCCTTCAAGAAATAACCAATATTCTCCATACACATGAATGGCATCTTACCAGAGTTGATGGTTTTCACAATTCCTGGTTTAATCTTGTTGGCAAGTTTACACAATAAAACGCCATCTTTGAGTGATTCTTGAAAGTCGTTGGAGGAGAATTTGGTGCCAGTGACTGCTTCGATCCATTGTCTGACTTCTTTTTCTTTCTGTGGATCGTGTTTTCCTGCTTGTTTTTTGGCCTTTCGTATAGTTTTAGTTTAGGTTGGGAAGAGAAAGAAACTTACTAATTCCTTGTCTAAACCGTAGACTGGTAAACCATTCTTATCATGAACGGTTGCTTGGCTTTTGTTGGTGTAGTGAGACATTTGGTGTATTTTTTTTGTTGATTTTTGACGTTGAAGTATGACAGGAATTTTACTTGATGACAAGTGAATTGGTTTTTTCACACTACGGTTTTTGATTTGAGCAAAATCTTCACCCATCTTTCTCAAACAACTTTTCACAAGATCTGTAAGTGAAAAATTATCAATTTAGTAAATTGATAAAAATTGATAATTGAACATATTCATCATCTGAAAACTTAATTCTATGAGAAGATGAATTTCTATTTTACAAGAAAATGCAACGAGTATTCATTCCCTTCATTGTTGGTTTGTTCTGTTTATTTGTAACTATTCGAAAGGTTTCTGGAAACACTTCAAACTTTGAGAATTATTCGAAAGTTGAAGATGTAAAACTTCCATTGAATTGTAGTACTAGCATGTCAGTTGTGTTTCCAACTGAATTGTTATTGCAATCTTTCTTACATGAAAAACATTCGAATAGCAACTTTACTTCTCTTTGGATAAATTTCATGATCGCCTCGAAAAGGGAAGGAATCGAATTGGCAGAATTTGGATTAAACTCTCAAAATTCGAATCAAGAATTCCTCTCCTTAATGCAAGAAATGAAAAATAATGCAACCGAAACCAAAATTAAACTAGAAGAATTACTTACCACTCTTAATTTACCTACAATGAATGAAATGCAAGCACTAGTCTATGGAAATGATTGTTCTCTAAGGGCAGTTCCATTAGATTCCATTCGAGGTCCATGCGATTTTCTCTTCATTTCAATTCATCGTATGTCCATGACCAAAACCATGAATCTTATGGTTATGGCATTGAACGGAGTTGACCAAAGAGTTGTTTCTATTGCTTACAATGAATTGATTATTTCTTCAAGACAATTGGTACACTTTTGCAGTTATCCAAAAGTTTACAATGTTATCAAACTTTGTAAGAAGTTTTGTAAGGAGAAACAAGGAGTTTCGAATATAAAGTTCCAATTGTAACTCTTTTTTAACATTATTTATGGTATTTTCTATTTTGAAACTTGGTGTTTTTGCACATTGTTCATTTTGAGTATGGTTTGAAATCCAAATAAATTCTCAAACTTTGACTTGCTATTCGAAACACACAAGAAAATGAAAATAATTCTCATTGCAACATGTCTCCTTCTTGGAGCCATCCTTGTTTCCTGCCAACAACAACAACAACAAGGTACTGATCAAACAAGCTCAACCTCTTCCAATCAATCCAATGATATCAAACTTCCATTGAATTGCAGCACCAGCATGTCAGTAGTCTTTCCAGCAGAAATAATTCTTCAAGCCTATCTTGAAAGTGACACTGCCAATGTTACAGCTCTTTGGCTCAATATCATGCTAGCTTCCCAAAAACAAGGTGCCTCACTCACTCAATCAGCCATTTCCAAATATTCCTCCAATTCTCAATTAGTTTCACTTTTACAAGAATTGAATGCAAACATGACTCAAATGGAACAACAACTTTCTGGATTATTCTCATCTTTGCAATTGCAACAATTACCTGACATTCAAAATCTTACCTATGGTGATGATTGTTCATTGAGAGCTGCTACAGTTGATAATTTGAGAGGTCCATGTGATTTTATATTTGTCTTGATTCATAGAATGGCAATGGCAAAGATTGTTAACTTGTTGGCCATTTCTGAAGGTGATATTAATCAACAAGTTGGTGATATTGCTTACAATGAATTGGTCAATTCATCCAATACTATTGAAAAATTATTGCAAATTGCAAAGGCATCCAATTGCTATGCCCAACAATAAACAGCATCTGATTGTTCAATTCACCATTTTTCATACCTGCCCAATATCTCATTTTACAGTAATGATCCTGCGCTTGTTCCAAATAAAATACTCCAACCCTTTTATATTTGTTCACACTACGGATTCCTTGGTCCGCATTTGCATTCTTTCCGTACTTTATTTTTTTTCCAAGTGAATCTTCACTTCAATTGCAGCATGTCCATACCTTACGCATTACCTTACGCCATTTATTAGAATGTCAATTTAATCTTCTTAAATACCAACACAACATTCTCACTCCTTATTCCTCTAATTTCGAAATTCAATTCAAAAAAATCAAGTCAATTGCAGACGACCTCAAGATTACAAGCTATAACAACAACTTTCAATTTATTCGCACAATATTACATAGCATGAAAAATTTCAAACAATCCCGCGCTTCTTTTTCTTCCTTGCTTGCTTCAACAACATCAAACACAACACGCACCAATGTTGTTAGTTCTGCTGCTGCTGTTGGTAGCAAGAGAAATATCTTGACTATTCAAAATAGGCTTCCGATTCTTTTAAACAATAAGAAAAATCAAACATCCACAACATTATCATCAGTATTGATAAACAATATTATCAATAACAGCAATAACAAGTATTACTACAACTACTCGACAACAACACACTTTCCAAGAGGAGCTTCCACTCGTTTGCAAACAACATCTTCCGAAGATTCTTGCCATCATACAATTATAACTACAATCATGTCTTCTTCTGCAGATCAACAACAAGAACAACATCATCACGAACATAATGGCCAATGTTGTGGTGGAAATCATCAACAAGCACAACACTTGACTGTTAATGATGTATCACCAAATACTCTTTCTGGTGATGAATCAGAATTCAATTCGGGATCCTCTCATAACACAAAGAAGAAAGTCTCTGGTATTAGTATTAAGAAGAAATCATCTACTTCATCATTGGGTGAAGCAGGTTGTTCCCATCAAATTGATTATAGTCAACTTAGTGCTGCTAATAATCAAAATCTCTCTCGTCCAGAACCATCAGATCCTAATGTTTCTTACACCATTGAAGGTTTATTACAAAAGAAACCAGCTGGTATTAATGTACCTATTCAATTCGAAGAAGAATTCACTGAAGAAGAACTTGTTGCTCAACAAAGTTATGAAAAGTTGTTGAATAACAATAAGGAATTTGTTTCAGACAAGTTGGGTTCTGATCCTGACTTTTTCAATAGAATCAAGGATGTTCAAAAACCAGATTACATGTTAATTGGTTGCAGTGATAGTCGTGTACCTCCTGATCAATTGACCAAGACCCAACCAGGTCAAATTTTCATTCACAGAAATGTTGCCAACTTGGTTGTCAATACTGATGTTAATGCCATGTCAGTTTTACAATATGCTGTTGAAGTTTTGCAAGTTAAACACGTCATTGTTATGGGCCACACTCGTTGTGGTGGTGTTATGGCTGCTTTGACAAATAAGCATTTGGGTTTAATTGACCACTGGTTGAGAAATATTAAGGATGTTTATCGTCTCCACAAGGCAGAAGTTGATGC